AAAACAAATGAACGGGCGAGTCCACGAGAAATGGATGAGTTAAACACAGGAGAGGAAGATAAATGAATGGGGAATTTAAGGAGGAGGGGGGATCTATTCACCAGTTAAAGCTGACTAAAGCAATAGAGGAAGAAACAGGGAAAACCAAAATGGCTGGAATCATGAACAGAAAGAGCTAATTCATGCCGTCAGCGAATCACAACAACAGAAGATACTCAAAATGAAAACCTTGATGGAGGAAAGGATTAAAACATCCCAGGAGCTTTAGCAAGGTGGAGGGGAGGAATTTCAGGAGTTCCAATTATGATGGAGGATGTGAAAAAAGAAATTAGAGGAGGGAAAATAACAGATGCCACCAGGATTAAAAGAGATGGGGACTTAAAGATACAATGGCAGTGATTCTGCAATCTGAAAATAAAATGCCAGAAAATATCCAGCTAGGATATATGAACCATAGATTACATCCCTAAAGCCCTGAGATGGTTTACATGCCAAAGAATGAGACACATTCCAAAGGAGTGGAAAGGAAAAGTCAGACGTGACGATGTGGAGGGCCACATGAATTTATAAATGTGATAAAGATGCTAAAGGTCAAATGTTGTAATTATGGAGGAGAACACGGCGCAGCATATGGTGGATGTGTTGAACAAAGGGAAGCCAGAGAAGCTCAATAATCAAAATAACAGTTTCATTATGCTGAAGCTTTAAAAAGAGTGAGGAAAGAAAGAACAGGAAGAATGAGGCTGGGAGAAGCAGGTCAAAGAACCTCAGCTGGGATTACAGAGCAAAGGCTGATCTATCAGACAAACCTTGGTACCAACAACAAATATTCAAAATGTTTGCATAAATGCAGAGTGGATGAAAATACAATGGTGGTGAAAAAAGCAAACTTTGTAGCAGTCATGCGTCACATTGTTAATGTCACAGAACAAATGAAGAAGAAAAGTGACTAAATCAAAGCAATTGTAACAGCAGCTGGAAGGTTTTTAGATATGAAAGAAATCCAAGCAGATCAGATCCAAACCATTCTGAGTTCCACTGAAACAACAGAGAACGTTCAGGATTAGGATCCTATCATGGTTTCACACATTCAATGGAATGCCAGAAGTTTAACAGCCAACGGACAAGAACTTAAAAAGTTTGTTTATGAATTAGAAATAATTCCGGATATAATGTGCGATGAAGAAACAAGGTTAAAACCTAAGTTAGAATTGAATATTCCTGGATGTAGCATAGAAAGACAGGATAGAAGTAATGGAGTAATGGAGGAGGATGTGCCATTTTTATTAAAGATGGAACAGCTTAGAAGAAAAATCCCATGAATAAACGATTAGAATGTGTTATTATAGAAATATTTGATGTTAGAAAATATGGAAATATTAAGATTATTTATTATAATTCATGTAAAAATCCTGCTAGTGATATATTTAGGGAGATAGCAGGGAAACTACGTGGCCAGTATGGCCCCACACTCAGTCGTTGCCACAAGGGGGAGCAAGCAACTCAAAGACCCAAACTGTGAAGCACTGAAGTTCAAGTGTTTTATTTACACTAAAAGCCACAGCAAAAGTGGCATGATAAAACAGTCCTTTCCTTTTCCTGATAAAACCTAAAAATCAGCGACTTCCGGGAAGGCAATGGAGAAGACGGACGCATAATTTTGCTGCTCCACCAGACCCACAATAAATGAAAAGTGATAAATGAGTACTAAAATAAAAGGAAAGGGCTCAAGAGGACGGAGTTCTAGTCAAAATACGGAGAAGAAAGACATGAAGGCTGGTAGAAAAGACGACGTTATGGCAGGCTCCAAGCAGCTAACGTTAGCCGAAGCTACACCGTTGAAAGCTACAGGAGAAGCTAGCGGGGAAACAGTGATGCTAACGGAATTATGAAAACTACGGCAGGAAAACACAGACTCATTTCAGGACCTGAAGAGCTCTTTACACCGGGTAGAATCCTCCATGGAGGACTTAAAGAAACGAATGGAGGGGCTGGACAGAAGATTGACCAAGCGGAGGACAGAGTAAGTGCAACGGAAGACCGAAGCATACGGCAGGAGAAGGCGCTGGGATACTTGCTAGAAAGGGAAGCTATCCTCACGGCTAAATGTGACGACATGCAAAACAGACTCCCCCGTAATAACATCAGGCTGTATGGCATCCCAGAGGGAGCGGAAAAAGAAGATATGGTGAACTTTGTCACAGACCTTCTGAGCACTTCTCTAGAGTTTCAATAAGAAGTTGTCATTAAACTAGAAAGAGCACACAGAGCGTCAGGCCCAAAACCTAAAGCCGCGGCGCCCCCAAGATCCATTATAGCCCGGTTTCTGGACTTTGATGTAAAACAAAAAGAAGCAAAGAAACATAAAGTACCAAGGGCACACAATTTATTTCGACCATGACTACTCACCTGACCTGCAGAAGAAAAGGAAAAAGGTCAGAGAGGTAATAAAGAAAAGAACATTAAAGCCCAGTCACCATACCCA